GTGGAATTGGGCTGGAAATCTGACACAACACTTCCAGCTCATCATTTTCTTTTCTCTTCGCTCGAAGAACTTTGACCCATTGTTGATACCCTCACCGCCTCATCTTCAGTTGCCTCTTCTCTTCTACCTTTCCCTCCTCCGTTTCGCGCCGCTTCAAGAGAAAAATCAAGGATCTGAGGCATCAATCGGCAGCAAATCGATCTAGAATGTGTTGTGCGCAGCGGAAAATTTCGGCAGCACCTCCGGTACGCAAGGTGCACAACAAGAGATTAGATCACAATGAAATTCTTGCTTCTCAAAGGAAACAAGAACCAAAAGCCAGATATCTCATCAAAGTGAGATATCAGCTCTTCCTCTCGTCAGCTCTAGGACTGCGCGTCGAGGGATCCTACAAGCTATTACAAATCACGGCAAGAACACAAAATTTTACGTGGTTCGGCAAACTGCCTACGTCCACGGGGCAAGGAGGGAGGAGATCTACTAATAGAGGGAGAGAATACTCTCAAAAGGGGATGCACAAAAAAGTCTCAAATCGGCTCTGCACGCTGCCCAAGAAAGAAAACACCTTGCACCTTTCCTGCAGCCTCACAATTGCACGCCGCCCAAAGAACTTCTCCCAGCCCTCTGCCTCACGCGCCTCCAATTGCACACAAATTTGCAGCCGCCAAAAGAACCCCAGCTTGCACCGCCTCCTTCTGCACAGTACTTGCCCACCTAACCCTAGGAAGTACTAGGGGTATTTATAATGATGTATCGGGTGGGCCTAAAAAATTGCTGAACAAAGTTTCCGTGCTTCCTTCTCACGTGCGTGGCCTCCTTTGCGATCTCTTCACGAGATTTTCACAGCAGCACATGGATTTGCTTCACGTATTGAAGGTGGACCCCACATCTCCAAAACCTTTCACGCGTTCACATTGAGAGCCGCCTTTTTCACGCGTTCACATTGAGAACATGGTGACCCACGTTCACAATTCTCCACCTCGGCGAAGTTTTTCCAAAAACTGAGCCGACACCGACCAAATCAAATGTCTCACTTGTTGCGTCCAGTATGCCATGGCAACGGACTCATGACAACGAACTCCATCCACAACAAGTCGAGACCCAAACGGGAGTGCGAACACTCAACCCAAATCAAATAGTGTCTACTCACCAAATCAAACTGAGCCTACACCGACTACACCAAATGCCTCACTTGCTGAGACCCAAATGGGAGTGCAAACACTCACCCCAAATATCGATGTCGCTCACCAAATCGATCTCACCCCCATCAACTAATCCAAAAAAAAACCCGGCTGCATCATAAAGACTGCCTACGTATCCTCTTGCCCAAGGAATCAAGCCGGACGTAGTTCACCAAAATGGCCTCCAAAGGCCCTCAAACAAATAGAAAAGTCTGCAACTCTTCTTCAATATCACCAAACGATCTGCAATTGATAGCACTCCCAATGGCCCTAAATTGAGACAAATCAAACACCTCCATCTGAGATGAACCAATGGCCATATCCAGACTACATCTATCAGCTGCACTCGAATCCAACTCATCATCTGCATCCAAATCCAAATGATCCCCAATCTGTGTCACCTCAGCTGGAATCTCAAATGATACAGTATGATCTGAAGTCTCCACCCAACGTGGAGTAGCATCACTCTCCACCCGCTGCGATGTCCCAAAGATCTGATCACCACTCTCCACCTGCCGAGAGTTAAACGTGACATATCTGCTCAGAACAAAGTCAGAAGCTAATACCTGATAATCAAACACGTCTCTGAATCCCAAATGTGCTATCGGATCAAATCTCACATCCATGATGTGACCAAGTGCTGGGTAGCCAAACATCCGACGCAACCCAAAATCTGAAGCAGCTCCACCAGATCCAAAATCTCTACATGCAGCAGTCGGCAACCTATACATAAGACGGTCCAAACATGTCGTAGCCTGCATACCAATGCCAATGCTCGACATCAAACGCCGATCCTCCTCCAGAAAGGAACAGCTCCCCAAATCTGCCATCTCATCACGTCGCCTCAAAGTTTCCACACCAATGAAGTGTTTCCAATTGCCGTGAGCTCGGCACAAATACAGAAATAGGTCCCTCTTGTACTTCCCTTTAACATCAGACTAAAGTACCTTCACCTTTCTGCTAATACGCTTCCTCAATTTGTTGCGGGCTTCTAGGACTTCACACCAACGGGACTTGGTTGCAACCCACCAATGCCTAGAACAATCCCCAACTGCGGAAACCACATACCTATTACCTCCCAATAATGCTCCCTTGGAAGGCCCCCGAATGCCTGAATGAACACCCCTCAGAAGACCCCTCGAATGATGGATAGAAGTGCCAAACTCCACCTCGGTCTTCTTGCTCATACCAATGGGTTCACAGGACTTCAAACTGCAGGTCAAAGCACTCCTCAACAACCTATGTACGGTATTACCAATCAAATAACACAGCATCAAACAACGCCACAGTCTAGCCGAATCTGATGAAGTCGTCATCTCCCTATCAATCTCCGTGATTCCGAGCAAATAATATAAATTGCTTCTTCTGACGCCCTTCATCACAATCATGGACCCCGATGTGACCTTCAAACGTGCATCCACCAAGGTCACTTTATAGCCAGATGCCACCAAAGCTCCTAGTGAAATGATGTTCTTCGACAACTGCGGAACGAACCTCACTTCTTCCAACTCCCACACCATCTGAAAGCTGGAGAACCAATCCCTCCGAGGGCAAACGTGGTATGAAGCACCCGAATCCAACATCCACTCTGTAGAGTTGGCAACACAAACTGACGGTAGTGCAGACAACGAATAGCCCGAAGAATCCGAATCTGAATCGTTGCCACTAGTCTTGACAACATTCACCTCTGAAGCTTGTACAGCTTTCCCCTTATTCTTCTCGGCTCGATCTAACTTTGGGCATTCAGCTTTCCAATGTCCATCCTCTTTACAAAAGGCACACTGATTCCTACGAATCCCACGATGTGCACCTCTAGACTGCGACCTCCTGCTTCGGTTTGTCCATCCTCTTTACAAAATGCACACTGATTCCTACGAATCCCACGATGTGCACCTCTAGACCGCGACCTTCTGCGTCGGTTTGAACCACGGCCTTGAACTACTAATGCATCTCCCGATGCCTTCTCGGAGGACTCATCAACACTCTTCTCAACTCATAATTCACCAACGCTGAGGTCACCTCCTTGTAACTAACAGTAGTTCTTCCATTAATCATAGTTAGGACAAAAGTACCATAATCATCCTCGGGCAACGAACACAAAAGTAGCATCGCCTTGTCTTCATCCTCAACCATGATATCCACATTAGCCATGTCTGAAAGTAGCTTTGTGAAGTTATTAACATGCTCCCTAATGGAAACTCCCCTCTTCATCTTGAACTGATAAAACCTCTTCTTCAAGTGAAGCCGATTCTCAATGCTCTTAGTAAGATACTTTTCATTGAGTGTTTCCCACATCTTCTTCGCCGAAGTCTCGTTCATCACATCATAAATAAGATCCGGCGTCAAGCATGACCGAATAACTCCACACGCCCTACTATTCATCTTCTTCCAAACCTTAGCTTCCATCTCGGCAGGTTTCTCTTGTAACTCAAGAGTCTCCTCCAAATTCTGAGCGTCCAAGGCGTCCATCACCTGACACCTCCACAATCCGAAATTAATCTTGCCGTCGAACTTCGGAACATCAATCTTCATGTTATTGATGCTCAAACTATGTATCGTCTTCGTAAGAGACGATCCCGATGTGCTTGTTTCACCCATATTGTCGATCTAATCTTCAAATAAGAATCCTTCAGCGAATCCTTCAAACAAGCTCCCAAGTCCAACCCGGAGCTCTGATACCACTTGTTGTGCGCAGCGGAAATTTCGACAGCACCTCCGGTGCGCAAGGTGCACAACAAGAGATTAGATCACAATGAAATTCTTGCTTCTCAAAGGAAACAAGAACCAAAAGCCAGATATCTCATCAAAGAGAGATATCAGCTCTTCCTCTCGTCAGCCCTAGGACTGCGCGTCGAGGGCACCTAAAAGCTATTACAAATCACACAAATAGCAGTACAAGTCAGCTCTAGGACTGCGCGTCGAGGGTCCTCTCGTCAGCTCTAGGACTGCGCGTCGAGGGATCCTACAAGCTATTACAAATCACGGCAAGAACACAAAATTTTACGTGGTTCGGCAAACTGCCTACGTCCACGGGGCAAGGAGGGGGAGATCTACTATTAGAGGGAGAGATACAATTAGGGTTTACAATCACTCAATCTAAACCCTCACACAAACTCTCAAATCCCTCACACAATTATCTCTCTCAAAAGGGGATGCACAAAAAAGTCTCAAATCGGCTCTGCACGCTGCCCAAGAAAGAAAACACCTTGCACCTTTCCTGCAGCCTCACAATTGCACGCCGCCCAAAGAACTTCTCCCAGCCCTCTGCCTCACGCGCCTCCAATTGCACACAAATTTGCAGCCGTCAAAAGAACCCCAGCTTGCACCGCCTCCTTCTGCACAGTACTTGCCCACCTAACCCTAGGAAGTACTAGGGGTATTTATAATGATGTATCGGGTGGGCCTAAAAAATTGCTGAACAAAGTTTCCGTGCTTCCTTCTCACGTGTGTGGCCTCCTTTGCGATCTCTTCACGAGATTTTCACAGCAGCACATGGATTTGCTTCACGTATTGAAGGTGGACCCCACATCTCCAAAACCTTTCACGTGTTCACATTGAGAGCCGCCTTTTTCACGCGTTCACATTGAGAACATGGTGACCCACGTTCACAGAATGGTCGGTTAGATCCCTGCTGGGTCACCTCGATGAAGCGTAGCCCTTGATTTCTAAAGGAATTTTAGAATGGTCGGTTAGATCCCTGCTGGGTCACCTCGATGAAGCGTAGCCCTTGATTTCTAAAGGAATTTTCTGATGTTGGGGTTTTACAAGTCTGCGATTTTCTGATGATGGGGCTTTTTATAGTGCATGTCGCCTTCGTTGATGGAGGTGATCGTCTTTGATCTGAAACTCCTTCCTGATCTGAACTTCAGATCTGCCGCCTTGATCTCTGGTTTAGGGGTTCAAGTTCCTCCTTTGATCATCGGGGTCTCCTCCACACCGACGATAAGGTACATCCTTCAGTTCCCTAAATTTTTTATTTTATATGATTTTAATTTATTTGTCACTATTTACTTATTAATTGTAGGCAATTATAGAAGAGTCTGAGTTCCAATATTATCACTAGACTTACATAATTTAGATGTTTATCTTTGCTTGCTGATGTCCTTAGGGGCTGTGAAGGCTAGCTAAAAATATTGGCACAGTTTGATTTTGTTTAGAATATGAGATCGTAGTTGATTAAGAAGAAATTATGTGTAGTTATATAATTTTACTATACTGAATATCTGCTGAAAGTATTGGAATTAAAAATTCCATCCCATTATTTGTCTATGTATAAGAATGTATTTTGCATTCATTGTAGATGGAAGATATTGATGACGAAGTGTTAATGAGGATATCGAGTAATGCTACTATGTCTGCCATCGTCACTGTGTTGACATGTGTAATGAGAATGCGTTGTAGAAGAAAATCTGTCACCTATCACCATGAGGGGGGAAAAACAGAAAATAGAGTCTAGGAATGCCCACATATGCCGCGTATTTTCTGGCTATAGTCACAGCTGTAGAGACTATGTTAGAATGTGGCCTCATGCATTTGAAAACCTTGTCAATATAATGAGAGGGACGAGCCTACTCCAGGATTCACATGATGTAAAAGTTGAAGAACAGTTGCTCATGTTTCTTAATGTATTAGCACATAAAACAAAAAATAGAATAGTAAGATCACATTTCATAAGATCGGGAGAAACAATTTTCAGATATTTTAACAAATGCCTAGAAGCAGTTGGTGCTATACAGGGGCGGTTCTTGAAGCAAGCACCAATGGAATTAGCTCCAGAGATTACAAGCAATCCTTTGTACTATCCTTATTTCAAGGTAATGCACTCATGAACATACAGTGATCTACAGAAGTAAAATTGTTATCCTATTAATTTGATAGTAAATTTCTAAAATTATATAGGATTGTATTGGCATGATAGACGGGACCCACATTGACGCTATGCTTCCTGCTAGCCTTGTGGCCCGCTTTAGAGGCCGTAAAAGTGTGACTCAAAATGTTCTAGCCGCCTGCACCCCAAATAAGTTATTTTCATATGTTCTCGCCGGTTGGGAGGGGTCTGCAAATGATTATAGAGTACTACAAGATGCACTTTCAAGACCTCAACCTCATGGCCTGAGAGTCTACGATGGTAATTACTCATTAATGACAAAAATGAATATTCAATTGTAATTTACAAAGAATTTACTTATTTTATGGTAATGTGTTGTTTAAAATTGTAGGCAAATATTATTTGTGCGATGCGGGGTACACCACCATGCCTGGCTTCATCTCCCCTTATCGTGGTGTACGTTACCATTTAAATGAGTACAGGGGTAGGCCAATAAATAACAGAAGAGAGTTATTCAATCTAAGACACTCCTCGCTACGGTCTAAAATTGAATCAACCTTTGGATTGTTGAAGAACCGTTTCAAAATCCTCACTTCAAAGCCACATTATCCTTTTCCAACCCAAGTTGACATAGTATTGGCTTGTGCTATACTTCATAACTACATTGCTATAGTCGACCTGGGCGATGACTTATTAAATGAGGACATTACCATTGATGATGACGATGTAGAAATAGCTACTGAGGGGGAAGATGCCAATCTTGTTGACTTTTCTCAAAATGTCACACAAAGAGAAGAAAGAGATTCAAGGAATGAATGGAAAGAGAAGAGGGATGACATAGCAAGTGCTATGTGGATAGACTATTGTAATAAATATCGTGGCGGGGACACAACCGAATTTGGTTTGTAATAGACATATTTGTATTTTCAGTATTGTTGTATTTCTTAAGTTTGTCGTCGGGACTGGTTGTATTTATTATGTTTGTTAATGGTGGTTTGATTTTATCTTTACATTATGTGCCTTCGGTCTTACATGAGCTTTGTTCTCCATATTTTCACTATGTGATTTTATTGTAACAGGTCCTTCATCCTTTTAAGTATGGCCGAGTTTGATGATAGAAATGATGATTGTGATGCCACTCCCTCCCCTAAAACCCCTGTAGCTCCTCCTTCAAACTTGAGCATGAACTTCATGCCATTCCCTCGTGCACCATTCTCTGCTCCCCCTCCCCCACCCCCTCCATTTCCATCTTTCTCTCCTTACGATAGTAATTTTGCATATATGACTCAGCAACCTACGTCTTACATGAACATGCTTACTAGCCACCATACATTCCATGCAACCCCTAGCCCACATAACAGTAATTGTCAATCTGGAGAGAGTCATTCGACGAAGAGGGCTAATGAAGTTGGTGCCGAGGCAATATCGCCATCTCGGAAAAAGAAGAAAGTAACTGCTAAAAGAAGATTGGCGTCAACAATTATAGACAAGCCTCCCAACACTAGGGGTGTGCCTAACATGTATTGGAATGCCAAGCATGATGATGTTCTAATCCCTGTTCTTGCTCAATTGGCAAGAGATGGCCTGAAGGTTGATAAAATTTTTAAAATGCATGCATACAAAGTGGCCGCAGATGAGGTTAACAAGCAATGTGGAACTGAATTCACAAAGGAGAATGTGATGAACCATATGAAGAGCTTGAAGAGTAAGTTTTTTGATATGCGAACTGTGATGAACATGAGCGGTGCTGGATTTGATCCTGCATCAAAAATAGTGACCATGGATCCAGATTCATTTGATATGTGGACAAAGGTATCGATTGGTACTGGCTATATTTATCTTTTATTATTTGCGTACACTTTTATGTAGCGAGCAATTTTTTATTAAATTTAGTTATTACACAGGATAATAAGTGCAATAGCTCAAAGTTGAAGGAGTACTTGAACACGCCTCTAACGCACTACGATGATTTGTGCACGATTGTTGGTGATGATCAAGCAAGGGGAAATTATGCCAAAGATGTGGGTAAGAAACTTGGTAATAATCGGCCTAATCCACTTTTTGAGGATCTGATCGATCTTTGTGAAAATGATGATATTGAGACCTCCAAGTCACAATTTGGGGCTGAGACACCAAGCGTTGAAAGGCTTGACCCTCACTCTCAAAATGTGAAGTCGGCTAGTGGGGTAACTTCTACATCCAATGCCAAACCTCATTCAAAAAGGAAGGGTGGCAAGGGCAGAGATGATGATTCACTAATGCGTGAACTCATCGAGTCCATGTCCCACTCAATCCAAAACCAACATATTTTACATTGGACTGATCGAATGTCCAAGGCTTTATCCGCACATGCGGCTGATTTCTCTGAGACAATACTGGATAAGGTGCTGGATTATCTATATGACAATGAATCAGAATCTAGGCGGTTCATTATCAAGTCGAAAAATGAGCAGAAACTGTTCTTAGAGAAGATTATTCGCAAAAATGGATTTGCCATCGATGATTTGCCGTAGTGGACACTATATTGGGTAATGGATTTGTTTCCTACCTACTTTTGCACTACTATAGCCGTATTTATAACCAAGTGAACATGTTATAATTTTGTAATATCGTGAGACAACACCTTTACTTTATGTGCATGAAGCAGCTGCTACCTATCATGTATCTTACTTCTGTCTTGGCTGGCTATATTTGTTGAGTTGTATTACCAGGCCTGTGCAGTTCCTTATGCTCAGTTTATGTTATCTTACCTATTTGCAGAGTTTATATATCGTTTTTATGTTCAAGTGTGTGGAAATGGGCATTATCTCAAACAGCGGTCCCTCATCTGTGTACAGGTTATAACTATTCTCATAAGTTACTTTGGGTTTTTTTATTAGGCAATGATGATTGCTCATTTGATATTTGTTAATGCAGCCTATACTGAGTAATTGTATTGGTCTGGATAAGGCTTACCATGATGAGATTGCAATCTAGATTGCTAATCTGATTTTTAGGTGAGGCAACTATTATGCGTAGGCAATCCTCAATGCAATTACAATATGTAGGCGAGGCATCGTATACTGATAATATAGTTATAATCTGAGCCTACATGTTCCAGCTCTGCTTCACATTTGATTTGATTCAGTTCCCAGCTGTGCATCACTTTGCTAAGCTAAAAATTTCAGCTGACTTAACTGCAGTTGCTCCTGTCTTCAACTTTTTGTGCTAAGTTTTGCTCAGTTGTTTTACATTGCTTCAGTTCTCAGAGTTGCTGTTTGTCCTGAGTTGTTTTTATGCTTTGCTGGGTTTTTTTCCTTACCTCAATATCAGCTGACTTAACTATAGTTGCTCCTGTCTCCAGCTTTGCTGAGTTTTTCCTTTGCACTCAGTTTTCAGCTTTGCAGCACTCAGTTTATGTGTACTCAGTTAGTTTGGATTTAGACATTATTTGTTCCAGTATTACCTAGCTGAGTTTTGCTGAGTTGGTTTTAAGCTGCTTCAGTTCTCAGAGTTGCTGTTTGTGCAGAGTTGCTTTTTCAATAGGCTATGAGGATTGCTCATGTTATTTGTTAATGCAGCCTACACTGAGTAATTGTATTGGTCTGGATAAGGCTTACCATGATGAGATTGCAATCTAGATTGCTAATGTGATTTTTAGGTGAGGCAACTATTATGCGTAGGCAATCCTCAATGCAATTACAATATGTAGGCGAGGCATCTTATAATGATAATATAGCTATAATCTGAGCCTTGTATGCCATTGCTATCTTAGATTTACTGACTTTTTAAGCTGTGCCTCAATTTTCTGCTTTGCTGGGTTTTTTCCTTGCTTCAGTTTCAGCTGACTTAACTGCAGTTGCTCCTGTCTTCAGCTTTTTGTGCTGAGTTTTGCTCAGTTGTTTTACATTGCGACAGTTCTTAGAGTTGCTGTTTGTCCTGAATTGTTTTTATGCTTTGCTGGGTTTTTTCCTTGCCTCAATATCAGCTGACTTAACTGTAGTTGCTCCTGTCTTCAACTTTGCTGAGTTTTTCCTTTGCACTCAGTTTTCAGCTTTGCATCACTCAGTAGTTGCTCCTGTCTTCAACTTTGCTGAGTTTTTCCTTTGCACTCAGTTTTCAGCTTTGCATCACTCAGTTTATGTGGACAAAGTTAGTTTGGATTTAGACATTATTTGTTCCAGTATTCCCTAGCTGAGTTTTGTTGGCTTGTTTTTCCCTGCTTCAGTTCTCAGAGTTGCTGTTTGTGCTGAGTTTTTCCTTTGCACTCAGTTTTTAGCTTTGCATCACTATTTATCTGGGTTTAGAGTTTTGTTATGTACAAGTTATAACTATGTACATTAGTTTGGATGTAGTTTTTATTTGTTCCAGTATTCATCTGTGATTTGCTGAGTCATATACACCATGGATTGCCTCCATAAATTTCATTTCATACCACATTACACTTTGCAACTACATGGCATATTTTCAAAGCTACAGATGAGTACACAGATTATAACTAAGAACAATACAATCATTTTCCAAATGATTAGTTGATGCTCTGCAGTTTTCAATTCCCTCTTCAGCTTTTTGATTTTCATTGCCCTTTTATCTTCATCAACGTCCTCACTTTGTGATACATGATTTCTATTTCTACTGCACTCGCCCGCTTTGTCGGCCCACTGAAAGAAGTTGCATTCCTTATTTGGGAACTTAGCGCAACCCCAATAATGTCTCCCTCTATTTTTTCCATTTGCGCATAGCTTCATGGGTGTTGGAAGTTTGCATTTGCATCTAACTTCAGATGGGGCACCCTCTACTTTGCTGACCATTGCCGCTCCATAAACCTGCAAGTCACTTTGTTGCTACGAATCTGGCAAAAATAAGAAGATTGAAAAATTCTTACATGGCTGAGATTTGCTATACTTTGATAGGGCTGTTGGTGGCTTATTATATAGGCCCCCAAGTGAACTTATTTGTTGAGCTGTTGCAGCCCCTACTAGCCATTTTTTCTTGTGATTGTTGAAATCGGTCACTGAGTAATTGTAACTAGCCATTGCACAGCCAGCTTTTTTGTGATGAAATGTTAATATTCTGCGGTAACTTCACCACAGATATGTGTACACACTGATTTTTGGCCTCTTTCCTATTCTTCGGCTTTGAACCAAACACAACAGCTTTTATGAAAAGCTTTTTTGGATGGTGTTTTCCCTTTCTTTGGTGGTGAACCAGTCATGGGTTTTGGATATGCTTTCTTAATATTCACTTTATAACTCCATAACAAACACAAGTTATGGATTCCTGGATGATCCAAAATTTTTTTAGAAAATGGTTATTTGCCTTGGATTCCATTTCCTTTATTTTATGGAAACGAACCAAACACCCCCTAAAAGAAAAACCTCCCCTGGATTAATTATAAACATACTTCATATTAAAACAAGGGAAAATTGTTTCCACCCCCTTATGAAAAATAAGTCATGCTTCTAGTCAATAAGTCAAACGTGCTCTCTCCCTTGTACATTATATTTCATTCGCTTACCGCCTTATACGTGTATATTGTATAGAACATGTATGAACGCCTATTTTTAATTCCCAATCTAGCCTCAATTAAGAGCTATAAATATAGGGGTGCATTCGGTCTAGATACAGCTTGGATATGATACCTATCATATCTATATCTGCTTACCCATCTTAAATATAAATACAAATACAGATATATCTCAATAAGGAATATTTATGTTCATATTACTAAATTTGATAAGGATATATATATATATATATATATATATATATTATATATACTATATATTATATATATAATATATATATATTATATATATAATATATATATATATATATTATATATATAATATATATATATATATATATATATATTATATATACTATATATATTATTAGAGAGAGAGAGATGAGAGAGAGAGACTGAGAGT